ACCCAGGGTTGTCTCTTAACTACTGCAAGCATCCCTTCTACAAGACACTATAAGCTTCCAGACAACTGATTTCTCTGGACCCGGATAACTGTCACCTCAAGAGTCAGCAGGGGCTTCTGGCCAAGGAAGATGAATCGTGGCACCAGCATCCCCAAAGAAATGTGAGTCCATCCCTGAGTTCTGTGGCCCTGTGACCACCCCACAAACCTGAGCAGTATGCTTTGTGCAGCTTGAACCCCTTCTCATTGTTAAGCCAGTTTTTATTCATGCACTCATGGGTCCGTGTAGTGAAATCATTTCTTGAGTATCTGCTTTGAATTAGGTACTGTTCTGGGCACCTGGGAAGGATGAATGAATAAAGATCTCTGGAGCTTATGCTCTTGCCTTGGAGAAAGCAAACAATACTCATGGTAAATAAGTAGTTTCCACAGTAGCTAGAAGGTTATACATACTAAGGGAAAAAAGGGTCCGGCAGGGGAATCAGGAGGACACACCAGTTTAAACAGGTGGTCAAGGTGGGCTTCATGGCAGAAGTGACCATCGGGAAAAGACTAGAAGGAGGTGAGGGAGTGAGCCAACCAGGGCTGGGGGAGAGCATTCTATGTAGCAAACAGTCCGTGCAAAGGCCCTAACGTGGGAATGTGCTGGTGTCAACTTGGCCAGCCAGGAGATGGCAGGGTGGGCAGAGCAGGTAAGGGGGAGGGCGAGGGAGGCAAACGGGACCGAGCATACCCTATAGATGGCACCGTGATTACCCCTCCCCAGAGAGAGGAAGCCAGCATTTTTTCCACAGCCTTATCTGATGCTGTGGTTGGCAGAGCCAGCGAGGGCAGGCGTGAGGGCTGCATAGTTCGGCACATCTGAGGAACCTCAGTGGGGCCCCAAGGCAGCTGACATCCGCTTGGCCTGTGGCTTCCGCCTCTCAGGTTGCCCTATGTAGCTGCTATTTTTGCTTCTGTTTGGGGTTGTAGGGAGAGTTCCACTGTGCAGGGCATGGGGGCAAATGGAACAAATGGAAGAGACCGTTTAAATGTTCCAAGGGAACCCAGGGACATTTACTGTCCAGCAAGTGCAAGAAGGAATCTGTAATGTGTCATCCTGTTAATCCTCGTGGCTCTGCAGCTCACAGAAATTAGGTGGCTTGTCCAAGGTCATAAGCAAATCAAACAATGAACTGAGGATTCTAAGCTAGTCCATTAGGTCTGAAAAGCCTTAATTTGCAAGTTCTTTGCATCTACTGCCTACGTGATTGTTTCCCAAGCAGACACTCTCTGCTTTCTGGTCTTCCAACAGGCATGAGAATAAAGGTACACTGCCCGTGGGGGTGGTGTCCTCCAGGGCATCACAGCACGGACAAGAGGACGAGGTCACGGACAGAGGGGCGATCAGAGAAGATGTCTAGAGAGCTGTGACATCAGGACCATGCCTGTGAGAGTAAGCAGGAGTCAAAGGGGTACAGGAAACACACTCTGGACAAAGGGGCCTGCAGACAAAGAATAACTGAGGGAGGTGAAAGCGTGATGAGAGAGAGGGGGCATGGTTGGGGAGGAGGCAGAATGCTGCTGGCTGTAAACATGAGAGAATTTTAGTGCCCAGCCTTCCAGGAGGATGTGCAAGGTTTCAAACAGATCCAGTAGGTTTTAGAGGAATCCAACAGAAGGCTTTTAAAGGCCTAGGAGAGATACAGGCATATCAGGAAGCTCCTAGAGATCTGGATGGCTGTTTAAGAACAGACTCTAAGGGGGAAGGGTGGAGGCAGGGAGGCTGGGAGAAGGCTGGTGAAGGCACTGGTGTGATAGGTAATAGGGGAGCAGGGAGACACAATTATTCACTAAAGGCACAGCCAACCACGTGTGCAGGTATTGAGGCAGGGAGAAGGCTCAGGAAGACTCCTGATCTGTGGCCTAAGCAAGGGGTGAACAGTCATGACTATTAAGACGGGCAAGATGCAGGAGGGCATGCAGGGTGTGAGGGTGAGGCAGTGTGAGTCAAGAGAAGCCATTCAGAGAGAGGTGCTGTCTCCTAGGGATGAACCCAAAGAAATGAGGATGTGCCAATCAAAACCACCTTGGACACGAACTTCCTCCTTCATTATTGAAGGGCTATTGCTCCCAGGGCCCTGTGGTTCCTCAAAGAGAGGTAAGCAAGGTGCCTACAGGCACACAGCTAGAAATCCAGGCAGTAAAACTGAAAACCCAGACCCACTGACTCCTACTCCAGTGCTCATCTACATGAGATGCCCAACAGGAGGACACCCTGAGGGCCTCCCTGGAAAATGGCTCCCCAGAGTCTAGGAGAAGCTAGCAACTCTATCCTTGATTTTGTAGGCCTTCGTTAGTGACTGACCACAGCTGTGAACATTCACTGGGCCTTTGGCCAGAGATGGTGACACTGGGGAGCGGCCCTGGCTGTGCCTGAGCTGCCTCCTTCCCTCTTCTGCTCCTAATTTCATTATTTACTGCTTGGTTAATGCACAAGGCAGAGGGGGAGTCATCAGCGCCCCCTCCAGCCCCAGAAAGGATGTTAATCTTAGGCATGGTGTTTGCCTTCCTCTGGAGGCTCCCATACCCCTGCTTTCCAATACAGCAAAACAAGAGGAGCTGGGGGACCAGCCTAAATCACATTTCTAAGGAACTCAGTGGCCAAATGAGTGCAAAAACTTGCCTGAGATGACTCAGTGGCAGGAGGAGCCCTATAAGTTGGGTTCCCTGTCGCTGGATACCTTCCTTCTTCCCATAAGTGTTTAGTGGGTACCTCATACATGCTAACCTTATGTCCACCAGACACCCTGAGCCCTCACTGAAAGCTCGCAGGAGCCAGGCATGGTGGCTGTAATCATAGCTACTTGGGAGGCTGAGACAGGAGGATCACAAATTCAAGGCCAGCCCAGGCAACTTATGGCGACCCTGTATCAAATCAAATTTTTAAAGAGCTGAAGATGTAGCTAAGGCTGTGGTAGAGCATTTGCATAGTGTATGCAAGGCAATGTGTTCTATTTTAATACCTACAAAAAACCTTCCCTGGGTCTCTTCCCCACAAAGGGAGAGCATGTTATTTACTGAGAACTAACAATGTGTTTTATATTGTACACGTTGTCTCCTATAATCCTCCCTAGCAACCTGCCATTTTGTAGGATAGACAGGTAAGGTAACCTGCCCAGGTTCACACCGACAGCAAGAAACAGTGATATCTCAAAGCCGGGTCTTAAATGGGGCCCAGGCAAGGGGCTTACATGGGATGCAAATTCTCCAGCTACTCCCCTCCCTGGGCCATCTCCTCCCCTCCTAGGTCATTCTCCCCAGCCCAGGCTCTCAGCCCACAGGTTATCAAGCGTGGTCTGAATACTCTGGTTTACGGAGCAGCTATTCTCCCAAGACGCCACTAACACACAGCTGCTGGCCGATCATCAGTAAGTTAAAACTGAAGGTCAACCCATTTCAAGATGGCCAGGAAGTCCTTCAATGAACTCACTCTGAGCAGAACAGAATCTCTAACCTTAGGCGCAGGGAAGGCTCCCAGCCACACATAGGTGCACATACAACACACGCCCTGCTGTGTGCCTTGACCTCCCCCTGAGCAGAGCCCATGTCATCGGTCATTTGTTCATCCATATATTTAACATGTACGAAGGTCATAACCACTTACTAGGCCAAGTGTGCGATAGTGTGTACCTGTGTGTGCACTTCTACGCACATACACACAGGCAGCCATCACAACACAGGAAAATAGGAATCGGTGTTCTTGTTTTATGGATGAGGAGACTGAGACTTGAAAGGTGTAAGGCACTTGCCCCATGTCAGACTGTGTTGGTGACACAGCCAAGATCAGAAGGCAGCACCTGACAATCATTTCCTCCTGGCCAGCTGGCTGACTGCAAAGCCTTCCCTATTGCCCTGGGCCCACTGCCTCTTTCTTGCTGTCAGACCCAGTGGGTATTAAGAGGAAATCCTTCCAGGAGGCGCTAAAGCTGCTATTTCTTGGTCTCTCTGTATCTCTCTGTCTCTGTCTCTGTCTCTGTCCCTGTGTGGGTGTGTGTGGGTGTGTCTACCTGCCCCCCACCCCATTTCCCTGCAAGTTCCAAATGAGAGAAGCAAGCCTGAGCAGGCAGGTACTGTTTCGGGAATGCACATGCATGAAGCCAGTTTTCCAACAATGACTGTGATAAATCAGAGCACCAGAAGAGGTCAGGCCTCCTGATCTGATGAGCACGGAGCTGTCAACAGCAAGGAGCACTGCCCCTAACTCAGCCAACTCCCAGCACAGCACAAGCAGCCTCCCCAGGGACAGCTGGAAAGTGCCATTCCTGCTAGGTTTCTGCATTCAATATCTCTTCTGCTTGTCATGTGGATGTGTCTGCCCTACAGCTGTGACTGTGCCCTTTCTCACTTGTTGCTGTCCTTTTCTCTGCAAAAGAATAGTGAGTGGACAGAGATCTCAGCTGGTTAGTTTTCAGTGTGCTAACCTGACAAAAGGAAAAGTGGCATACCCCAAATTAGGGAGGAATTTTCCTTACATCCCAATCTCCAAGATTCCAAAGAGGCAGCCCAGACTTTGTTCCTGACAATGTCCCCAGCTTCTCCTCCCGACTCCTGCTTTCTTGCAAGGCCCATCCCACCCCTCGGCCCAGATGCCTTTTGGGATCCTACATACCACGGACTATCGCCACCACAGTTCTCACTGTTCCTAGTCTGAGTCATGCAGACACCCCATACACCTGGATGGGCCCCTGCATAACGTGCTGAATGAATGGATGAATGAATACTTCTGGGCACCAAGACTGGAGGCTGACCCTGCTCTGTAGCGCCAATCCAAATCATCCCCAAGATCTTTTTCAGGAAGGACCAACTGCAATTCCTGCATCCTCCAAAGCTTCTTCATTCTAGAACGTAAAAGGCACTAATCCATGTCTCTGTCTATTCCCACCCAGTATCATCCATCTTCACCCTGCAGCGCCAGCCTGACCACCTCCACCCGATGAGGCAGCGGCCACCACCACTTACCTTCTGCAGAAACACACCTGCAATGCACCAGCGTCTTCCAAAGAGAAGGAGCCCGACTCTCCTTCCACAGAAGCCCAGGCAGTGAGAGAACGCGCCTGCGACAGCCTCTGTGCGATTCTGCTGCATAATCAGCAGAGAAAGAGAAAAAATGCCAGAAATAGCAAGCTTTATAAGCCCTCCTGACAACTCTTGGTCCTCTATTGGCTGGAGGCCCGGCACCCCCGCCCCCCATCCCATTCCTACAAGGTGAAATGGAAAAACCTGTTATTTAACCTCTTTTATCAAAATCCATCTTCTATCCCAAATTGGGCCTGCCTGTTGGGAGCTCCTGGTGGCGGTCCCCACACCAGATCTCAGGGAGCAGAAGGGGAGGCAACCCCGATATACAGAACAGCTCTGCGTCATTTGTGGCTTCAGAGTCGTCCCCACTCTCCCACGCTGCTCGGGAGCCGGTGCTGCCCAGCAAGGACCTTCGGAAGGCAATTTGGCAGCACCTGTCAACGAGTGAAACCTGCATGCAGTTTCATGTGGCAATTAGACTTCTGAGCATCCATCCTGCAGAAATACCTGCACTCGGCGTGGATATGTGCTTTAAGATGTTACTTGTTACAGAGCGTTGGAGGCAAGCTAAGTGTCTGATGCCAGGGTCTGGTGAATTAGCTGAAATACCTTCATTCTGTGGAACGCACTCAGATGAGGATGGTCTGTAGGTGCTGGCGGGGAACTAGTTGGAAGAATCAAGGACATGGTCTGGCTTTTACAAAAACAATAACTGTGCATGTGTGCATACGCATTGCTAAAGGTACCGAGCGGGTAACAGCTGTTTCCCTAGGGAGCAGGAGATGGAGGTGTTTTCAGTGGCTGCTTTTTTCTTTCTCATCTTGTTTCATTTTTTTCTTTTGCACAAGCATGTATTACATTTGTAATTTAAAACTAAAACATAGGCACCTCCCCTGGTCCTTTGCCACTCCTCTGAAGCCAGCAAGCCAAGGGCCAAGATCACCCACTACAAGGCTAGATTGGGCCTGGGTACCGTGCTGGCCCAGGCACTGTGGATACCACAGTGAATCCCTCCCTGGCCCTCATACAAATGCAAGTAAATGAGGGTTTGGTGAAGAAGGCAGGATTTGGAACAAGAAAACTGGTTTCAAATCCTAGCTCTGACTCCTGGAACAGCTGGATTCCCTGAGCCTCAGTTTCTTCATCTGTAGAATGGGGAGAAGGGTACCTAGTAAGTGTCATGTACTGTGCTGAGTGTTGTTAAACCAATTTTACATTTATGGACATGTCAGAAGCAACAAAGGCTCTGGGAAAGCATCTCAGTCTATCCAGGACTGAGCAAGAAGAGTTCCGGGAAACCTTCCTGTTACAGATCACTTACAACAATAAGAAACTAAGTGAAAAGATGGGCCAGGGAACAGCAAATGCCATATGATGAAAGGGGCTGCTCCCCAACGTGCCCATAGAAGGGAGCCAGGTAGAGAGGGGGATTAGAAGCCTCCAGATAAGAGAGTGTGGCTTGTTTAGCTTTCTGTGCTCTTCCCTCCACCTACAATGCTTTTCCCCAGCTCTTCTATCAAATAATGGGCTTCTTCTTATCCTCCCCAGGCTGTGTGGAAATTTTTCTCTCCAGGCAGCTCTGCTGAGCCCCCACTGCACCTGTACTGTTCCTCACAGCGCGCTACTCAAGCCCAGGGCTTCTGTCTGCCTGCCTGGATGGGTTTTGTTTCTGTTTCCTGTTCATCTTCCTTGCTGAGCTCTGAGCACCTGGGTGGCCGAGACCGTGTGCCTTGTGCATCTCTGGGTCCCCGCACGAGGCCGAGCATACAGTCTTCACTGAATGAGCAGAAAGTGTACGTGACCTGCAGGTCCATGGCCAAACCCAAGTTCAGGGAGCCTGACTGAAGAAAAATGAGGCACAGATTTTGTACCGTGATATAAAGATGGGCGAAAATGTCAGACATAGTCATGACGTAAAAGCATACACATAAAGCTATGAGGGTGGTAGGAGACTGTGTATGTAAACTTAGGATGGGGAAAAGTCTAAGTCTAAGTCCAGATTCCTATGGGCAAGGTTATTATCATCTCATTATTTATAAGAACACAGAAGTGATAATAAAATCCACTGATACAGGATTGGTGAAATAGATCACAGTTCTCTGTACAGAGGGATGCTACGCAGCCATGAAAAAGACCTCGCATTTATTGATGTGGAACGGAAGCCCTTGTTGCTTACTGAAGGTAACACTTGCTAACCAGAAGTCAGTGATTCTGAAAAGGTACAGGAATAAATGATTGTCACAGAGATGTTCTGTAGCCTCTGCCTTCTCCCTGCTCCATAGAGGCCATGCTTCCTGGTGCTGTTAACAATGTAAGCAAACAGGGCACTGCCATTGCCCCCAGAGGCAGCCTCATTCACCTCGATGAGAAATTATGGTGTCAGAGAGATGGCTTATAGCTAGGGGCCTTGGAGTGGCTGGGTGAGAGTAAGGGCTTCGTGGAAAAGGTACTGCTCGAGCTAGGGTTTGATGGAGGGGCAGAGGTTAAGTACAAGCTACGCCTTGACTCACAATGGGGTTAGAACCAGAGAGACCCATTTGAAGTTGAAAACATTCTAAGTCAAAAATGCGCTTAAGACATTTACCCTACTGAACAACATAGCCTACCCTACCTTAAACATGCTTAGAACACTGACATTCACCTACAGATGGGCCAAAAACCATCTCGGACAAAGCCTATTTGATAATAAAGTATTGAAAATGTCATGTAATTTACTGAATACTGTGCTGAAAGTGAAAATAAGAATAGTTGTTTGCCTACTCCAAGTACACTTTCTACAGAATGCATATTACTTTCATACCACTGTTAAGTAAAAAAAAAATCCTAAATCAAACTGTCTTGAGTCTGGGTAGAGAAGAGAGGCAGAAACAGGCTAATTGGGGACAAGAACAGAAATCCTCACACTATTCACCCAGCACTGACTCCCCCTAACCCATGGATGTGCAGCTAAGGAGTCTGCAGGAGCTCAGCCCAGGGACAAAAGATTCTGGACTTGGTTCTCCACCTGGGAGAACAGCATCCTGGGACTGTGTTCATGTAGGTGGCCAAGAGCTTCTGGGCTGTGAGTTGTTACCCAAGGAGCACCAGCAGGCAGGACTGCGACAGGAGCATACACCTGAAGAAGGTGTACTCCAGACCCAGTGCACCTCTGTTTGCCCTGAACATTTGGGCCAAGGCACCCAGTACATTCTGGAGAGGGTCTTGTCTCTATAGACCCTCTGCTCAGCTGTTTTTGGGGTGCCGCCAGGGAGGGGTCCCTCTACCTTGATGGGCCTCAGCACTTTTTGGTTTTAGTTTTCAGATTTTGAGGTGGCTCAATGGTTCAAAACAAAGAGAGATGACTCAGCTTCCTGTGGAGGAGCTGCAGCATTCTGGAAAAGATATTTTAGCTTTAATGTTTTTTTGGCCGTAGAAATAGCTCATCCAGGCTGTCTGATTCTCTTAGACTATGACTATTCCCAGAGTGAGGGACCAGGTCAGCGGCCAGGTTCTGGGGACGGGATTGAATACTGGTCCTACCCTCACCTTTCCGGACAAGTTGGACAAAAGTATATGCTCTCTGAGCCTCTGTTTCCTAATGAATTGCCGAGATGGGACTAACAGTTCCTCCTCAGGGTTACTATGCAAAGCAGTGTCACCTATGCGAAGGTCCAGGGCCTGGCACAAATGAAGTGGCCCAAAATCATCACTGTTAAGAGCAACAGCCATCATGCTGAGGTTCTATGGAGGCTAAATAATCTCGTTTAATCCTCACACCCGCATGGCACAAATCCTCATGTTATAGATGAGGAAACTGAGGCTCAGGGCTATGAACTGACCTGAGCTTCTGTCTTTACATTCATGAGGGCCTGTACACACCCCCCAAACCAACTTACAACCAAACAGTATAAACTTTTTCCTCTGACACCCTCAGCAGCCAAGTACACACCAGCCTCTCACTTTCTATCTGCAAAATGGGGACAAACATTCTGCAGCCGTGAAGACGACTCAGTGAAGCTTCATAAACCTTCCACCACATTGAACTATTCCTTCTTCTGATCCAAGAAGGGTTCTCAAAGAGTAGAGTGTTCCCTGGATGATTTCCCTAAGAAACGCACGATGCTGTTAAGAACACTTCATCACGGGTCTCGAGAAAACGCCAAAGCTGAGCAAGGGAGCAACTTCATGCAAATATTAAGAACACACCTTGAAATAACCCTAAATCTAAGCTGAGCAAGGGAGCAACTTCATGCAAATATTAAGAACACACCTTGAAATAACCCTAAATCTTTGCCCTGACACTAATTTGAACACACACATACACACGCACACACACACACACACACACACACACACGCACGCACGTGAAAACGCCAAAGCTGAGCAAGGGAGCAACTTCATGCAAATATTAAGAACACACCTTGAAATAACCCTAAATCTTTGCCCTGACACTAATTTGAACACACACATACACACGCACACACACACACACACACACACACGCACACACACACTGCACAGAGCAGGTGAACACAAGGTAACCCACGACAGCCCAAAGCCAATTCCTGCCCGCTCCCTTGTCTCACCCTGAGGGAAACGCTGACAGAGCAACCCCAATAGTAACTGACTAATTTTACACCCTGTGATTACCAGGGTTGATTTCCATGGAACCTTCCTTTCAGAGCACCGAGAACCTCTCAGGAACGGTAATTGCCAAGTTCAATTTTAGCTCTGTCATGCCCAACCATCGGTGCTAACTAAGGCGCTGCTTCATCGCCAGGTAAGCTGGTAATGAAGTCGGCTTCACAGCTTCCTTTCACAATATTGTGATGCCCGTCAGCACCTGTAAGTGCTGAGAAGCTGCGAGCTTCCATTAAACAAATCTCACCCCAGGTCATCGCCAGGTAAGCTGGTAATGAAGTCGGCTTCACAGCTTCCTTTCACAATATTGTGATGCCCCGTCAGCACCTGTAAGTGCTGAGAAGCTGCGAGCTTCCATTAAACAAATCTCACCCCAGAGAAGTGACTAAAGCCGCTTTGTGTGTCTGTGGGTCCCTGTCTGGATCCTCACACCTACTGGGATGTCTCGGGGCCCAATCCCAGTGCCTCCTCCCACAGAGCATG